GATGTGGTGTTACTGTTAACCTTTTCTGCAATGCAACAGTTTCTGGTAAGTGCTATTTTCTTTAGCAGGATGTGCAGTTTGTGAGCAGTCAGTAATAAAAGTGTGAGGGTCTTGGGAGGTCCAAAGCTCCAAAATCTTCTCTTGTGCACAAGAAACTTAAAAGGAAATCTCTCTAGGTCTAGGTACAGACCACTAAGGGCATCCCTGCCATTTCCAGGCATTCAGATGTACAGCGGTTGTTGCATGAGAAACCTATAAGCAGATACGCCTATAGTTCTGACCTTGGCCTGGGAAGACCTGCAGCCTGAAACACTCCTGGAAGGAGCTGGATTCCTGTTGTAGTTCTGATTCGCTCTGGTGCATGGATGTGATCAAGCCCTGTTTCTGTAAATACGTGTGCAATGCATGAAAGCTTGTGGCCTGATTTCTTTGCCCTGCCTGTGCACCTGCTGCCCTGTCCTTTGGAAGCCAGTTTGCAGGTGTAGGTTCTTGGTATTCTTAAAATTGGCCCGTAAGTCCTGCTATCTTGTATTTCTAGAGCCATTTTTGTATGAGGAGTGTGGCAAGAAGCCACTGTTCTTTGTGCTCTTTTTCTATCCCTTTCTGCTTCCCTCATCTTCCTGCTGTTTTACTGAGTGTTTCGCAGTCCCATTCTCTGCATGCAAAACTGGCAGTACTAAAGCCAATTAGCAGTGGAAGGTGTAATAAATGCAGAGAAATTCAAATTAGGGTGGTATTTTTCACACCTTTTCTGATTTAAATGTGGAATGACTACCTGAGAGAAGTTAGACATTCTTGAATATGTTGTGCCTTTCTGGACTAAATCCTGGATACAGTCAGAACCTGGGCTCGGTAAACTGTAGTTTGGAAGGAATATTGTGGTCTGTTTTAACCGAGGCAATCGGACCAGATAATGTATTAGTTGTTTAGAGAGTGAAACCTGCACCCTCTCTTGAATGGATGTGGATCATCAAATTTTGCTTCTCTGATGGCAGCATCGCTTACTCTAGATTGCTGTGCAAAAATTGCTGTATGTACCCTGATTAAATCAATACTTGTTTTCTCTGGAGAGAAGCATGCTGCTTTTATTAGTAGCAAAATTGTCATGCTTTAATCTGCAGTCAGTGGGAGTTTAATAATAAAGTAACCAAATTGGTAGGTATATTTGCAGACAAAGTAAGTTAAATGATTTTGCACAGCTTCCATGTGTGGTGTCGTCAGCTGAAGTTTGCAGGAGTTAAAGGTAAGGGAGAGAAGGACATGAGGATGTAGTTTTCCTATGACTTGTGTAAGTACTGTGACAACTCTGCAAATGTTGCAGGCTTCCTCTTCCTTGGATGCGGCTCAACCTGACGTATTCGTCTCTCGCTGCTCCATCTGGAAGATGCTCCAGGCCATGTTTCTGTCAGGTCCTGATGTGTTGATGTTGCAGTTCTGTATCAGAAAGCATTAACTTGCTTAATTTGTATTTATGTATTTTAGATTCTAAGTTTCTCTTTCCTTGGAGCTTTCAGGATGGTTTAGCTATGTTCTCCGTTGCATAGACTACAGTTTTCTTTACCACTTGGCCCTGGTTGCATGTAAGCAAAATAGGCTGATGTACATATTCTAGCGAGGGTGCTCTAGGAGTGACTTTGTTAATTAGCACAGGATCCAAACTAGAGGAAAGGTACCTTGCCCAAAACTTTGCTAATGAGACATGAGCAGTTGGTCTGAAGAGGTACCAGTCCCACTTCAGCTGAAGCAAAGATTTAGAAGATGAAGGTCCTTGAATTTAATGGATCTGCTTTTCTTTTTTAAAAATTTTAATTCATCTGTATTTGCTGCTCAGCTCATGTTTCTTTCTGCTGAGTGTGGCACTGTAAACAGAGACACAGTATCCTGCTGGCCTCCAGGCCTGGCAGGAGGAGCTGTGGGAAGGGAACTGAACTCCTGGAGAGGATGGATGACTTCTGACTTTCTCATTTGGGAAAAGAAAAAAAAAAAAAAAAAGTCTGTGATTCCCAAAAAGTTTTGATGATGACTGAGGCTCTGTAATAGAAAAAAAAAGACAATTTTTTTTGTTGGTTTAATGTTTTCTCTAGATTTTATCTGTGGTCCATGGAAATATTGTGCAGAAATTAAAAAAAATAAGTCCAAACCTGATCTCTCCAATGATTTTAAAAAGCATAATGTGTTAAGAAAGTAGGGATTGAGGAAGTGGTGCTGGTTTTGGGTCCCTTCTTGCTGGCTCCGTTGTGGGTTATAAGAGGGGTAGGGGGAAGCAGTAGAGTGCTGTTTTGCTTTTTTCAACATAGACATCCTTCAAGCTAAAGATAGCACAGCGGGATGTGCAGATTTGTTCTCCAGAAATGAGACAAATGTGGCTAGGGTAGAACAATAAGGCTATTGCTGCGGGTTTAGGAGTTCTTAAAAATGACTTGTAATTTGAGATCCTCAAGTTGAAGCAGCTTAAGGGAGAGAGTCGGGGTTATTTTTGTGTCTGAATTTGAGCACTATAAAGAAATGAGGCCCTCCAGAGTTACAAGGGTTTTAAAACCCTCTCTGGCAGGAGTGAGCAGCATCTGTATGGCTTCCTGTATCGCAGAGCCATGTCCCGTTTTTCTGAATTTGAATATCCATTTTGCAGCCTGGTTATAGTTTTTTAAGACCTTTAATTAAAGTCCTGACACTCTTTTTTTTTTTTTCTTTTTTGTTTTTTTTTCTTCCTTCTGTTGCATCTTTTTGCAACTTCTCTGGGGCTGTGTCATGGTTTAACCCCAGCCAGCAACTAAGCACCACGCAGCCGCTTGCTCACTTCCCCCCACACAGTGGGATGGGGGAGAGAATCAGGAAATAAAAAAGTAAAACTTGTGGGTTGAGATAAGAACAGTTTAATAGGACAGAAAGGAATAAAATAACAATGATAATAAAATGACAAGAATAATAATAAAAGATTGGAATATACAAAAGTGATGCACAATGCAATTGCTCACCACTTGCCGACTGATGCCCAGTTAGTTCCCGAGCAGCAATCTGCACCCCCAAGGTGAATTCCCCCCAGTTTATATACTGGGTGTGATGTCACATGGTATGGAATACCCCTTTGGCCAGTTTGGGTCAGCTCTCCTGGCTGTGTCCCCACCCAACTTCTTGTGCCCCTCCAGCCTTCTTGCTGGCTGGGGGTGAGAAGCTGAAAAATCCTTGATTTAGTATAAACACCACTTAGCAACAACCGAAAACATCAGCGTGTTATCAGCGTTATTCTCATACTGAACCCAAACCACAACAGTATACCAGCTACTAGAAAGAAAATTAACTCTATCCCAGCCAAAACCAGGACAGGCTGTTTCCAGTTAGTTCTGTTTCTAAAGGTTGATGGGGCTTCCTTGGAAAACCTGGTCTAGTTCCTATGACAAACTATGATGTGTAAAACTAAGGTTTTTGCATGCTAAGAGAGATTTTTGTCTAACAGCTCTGATGCTGAGAGGCATGTTATTTGCATGTGTAACTTCTGTGGTTGTTTTGGAAGATGGGCTGTAATGGGTGCCATAAAAGCTGTCTGATAACAAATGGGGAGGGTTATACTTTGAACACAGCAACGCCGTCTGGTCATTTGCTCTTTTTCAATCTTTTCTTAGTAAAAATAAATGCTGGTTTTAGTAAAAGCTTCAGTGGGCCTTTTGGCTGTGGTGTTTGATTTGTTAACAGCTTGTAAGCACCAGTTGTTGCAAGACTGCAGCTGTCAAATGCAGCCTATTTTAACAGTAAATTTTACTGAAATACGGCTTTCTTGCTTGTCACATTTTACATGATGGGGAGGAACTCATTTAAGTGCTAAATTAAGTGCTAGTAGTAATTATGTACAAACATGTCAAATGTAACTATATAAGTCTTGTTGATCTGATGGTTTGTGGCAGCTTGTAAAGAACGGGATTCACCAAAGGGCTCAAACTTTTAAAATGAGAATTCTTTGGGATGTGACTAGCTTTTTACGGCGTGTGACTACAGTTCTTGGTGTCGTGGGACTTCTGAATGCTACAGCAGCACTGAATCATAACTTACTATTGAGCTGATTCTTTAGAAATCCTTAAGCATAAAAGGAATATGTGCTGTAAGGTAACGGAGAGCAAATGAAGTGCTGTCAGGTTGTAGCATTGACAATGTCGTCATGCTTCTCTTTTTACCATTGTGCAGCACTTCTTGGCTACTTGGATATGTGCGACTTTTTTGTTCTGATTCATTCTGATCTCTGGGAGCCAGGTGCAAAACTTTGATGCCTATATACCTGCATCCTCAATCAGTTTCCTATTTCTGTCCAGGACTACAAATGTAAAACTCATATTTTGATGTGTTGCTAACGGAGATGAAAGGCTTTCATCCTAAACAAGTCAAGTATGTCCTGGGAGTCCTGACTTTACTAATAGCAATGACCACAAAATGAATTGTGTTAGTTTTTCTTTTTTCCTTGTTCTTCTGTCCTTTTTTAAAAGCACTAACATCAAACCATGTGTGGAAGATGGGTTTCTTCTGCTTCTTGCACAAATCAGCTTTGTAATGTAACTTAGATGTTTCAAAAGTTGGGAAGCCTTTTAAGTTTAGGCCTTTAGTAGTTCAGTGGGTGATCTGTAGCTCTGATTTCTGTCCAAGGCAATGTTGCTGTTTATATTTCAGCTTTCTTCTTCATAATGGAAATTAATGGAGCAATGAAGGACTGTCTGGCAGGACAAGTAACTGGTGTAATTGCTTGTTTTTATGGAGATGTTAAATGTTAACTTTGCTTCCATTAATCACCCCCTTGGATTCCTTTTAGTTCCCAGAAATAACTGTCTAGGCAGAGTTGGAAGCTCTGGAGCTAAGCACATGTAAGGGGTGCTCCCACCACAGCTCTGTTAGTAGCTGCCGAGTGCCCTCCCCCTTCTGACTGTACTCTGAAGGGAGATGGTGGCAGGGACGAGGTTGGAAGCAAGGACCAAGAGGTTTCTTTGTTAATGAATAAGATGATTTTATGTCTTCTGCAGGAGGATTTGCAATAGTGTTTCTTGTGAGGACTAACAATGGAATGAAATGTGCTCTGAAGCGGATGTATGTCAATAACGAGTATGACTTGCAAGTCTGCAAAAGAGAAATCCAAATCATGGTAAGTCACCACTTCGTACTGGGGCCCCAGACTGGGAATGGAATGGTGTGAGAGCCTGCTCACCATTTGCCTGTGATCTGTGTAGCACCATGTCACAAACTGTGGGTTTTCTTAGCAAAACTGTCTCTCTTTGGAAAGACCTAACTGCTGGAGTTATGTGACTATGTGAAAATCTTGTGTTGAATTATTTAAAATGTAAATAGTTTCAGTGGACAAGAAAAACATGGTAGCTGAAAAAGTAGAGGGAACTTCAGGAAAATGTGGGGAGGAAAAAAACTCCTGAGTCAACCCCACAACTTAATGGTAAGAGGAAGAGCTGAAGAGCTGGGCATGGTTCGGTGTGTTAGACTTCAAAGTCTAACAATCTTCAGTTCAGGGCTAAAGTCTTCAGCCTTTTAGACTTCATCAGAAGAGGCTGATGATTCTGATGTAACTGTCCTTGAACTCAAATCAGTGCATGAATGGAAGACCTCCATCCTGAGATGAATTTATGTCACAACAGCTTCTTATCTATTAGGTTGGGATGAAGAGCTGTCTCTGTATTGGAGAGGTTGATAGATTAAAACAGTATTTGTGGGGTAGTTACCGCCTGGGCTTTTGAAACAGGGCAGTATTTATAATAAGCACTGGGATGTTTCTCTAGATTATTGGGTACAAGGAGTTAGATGATAGGATAGCTTTTTTAAAGAGCTGTTTTAAACTTAGTGTCTCTAAACAAAGAAAAAAATTGAGATGATCTAAATTTTCTTAGTCTTGTTTGGAGCCTAGTAAACATGGAAAGTGCCACTTTTGGAGTTGTATTCAAAGATATTGATGAACATTTAGAGCAACTGTGAGGTGGGGAAGGAAATAGACAATCCTCATTCTGCTAATTTACAACTTGAGTTGTAGGTTTGGGGTAGGTGATCTTCATATCAGAAGCTTTTACCTGTGGCAATTCTGGATGTGTTTTTCTGAAGTAGCTTTTACCTAGGCTAATACCTTTAAAGTTAACTTCTGGAGTTTGTGTGATAGTGCACTGAAGCTTTTGGGCATGCTTTGTCATTGCCATAGCTAAAGCTACATGGGAAAATTTGAGATTAGATCTTACACCAAAGGTTTTAGCTGTGCTCACAAAGCTTGTTTACTGGGATTTTATTTGCCGGTGTTTTCCACTGTCTCCATGTCTTTGGTGCCTCTTTGAAATGTGTGGCTAACCTGGAAATTGAGGGTGAGAAGTATCCTTCTTACTTGGGAGGTCCACTTGCTCCTGTACTGAATCTTATCATAAGCACTAATATTTGCCCTGAAGAACCAGTACGTCACTAAAAGGACATATTTTCTTCTTTCCTAGCTTTTGTGCAATAAATAAGTATTTTAAACTTAACTGCACTTTTTGCAACCCTACAGCATTACAGCAGAATGGCCAGCAGAATCTTGATTTCTTTTACTGGTGAAGCTGAACATTGAACTGGACTGGCTATCACACCTGGGAGCGTGTGTGAAGCTGGCAGTCAAAGGAATGACTTTTCCCTGCAGGTTTAGCATGTGTCATGGATAAGTCATTGATAGGAGAACTTGTGCTTTAATCCACCAAGTTACTTAAAATAAAGTACTTATAAAAGCAAGGTTAAAATTTATTTTATTACCTTAGTGGGTTTTTTTGAGCCTGAGAAGATTTGAGATACTCTTTGCCAGCTGAAGAGTGGAAGGAGATGAGAACAGTAAGCACAACATGTAAAGTGGATGGCCACCACAAAACATCTGCCTTGTTCTCCCCTCCCCATAAAGGAGGAGCAGCTCCGGGTGGCTTGGCCTGGGCCATCTGAGGGAACATGCAAAAACGTGGACTGATCACTGAACAAGTTAGTTTATCAGGTTGGCTGTTTCTCTGCTGTTTGTCTCAAATCCTTCTGGAAGGAGAATAGGTAAAGAGAGACCTCAGGTTTGTTCGAGTTTTGTGTGACGATTAATCCAAAGTGACAGAAGCTTGTGCCTACACAGGAGAAGAGCTAGGAAAGCTGTGCAGTGTAGAGGAACCAGATTAAAATATTGCTCACTCTTTATGGCTGGTTTATGCTTTGAATTTATTTATCTTACAGCGGGATCTATCTGGCCACAAGAACATTGTTGGATACATTGATTCCAGTATAAACTCAGTAAGCAGTGGTGATGTATGGGAAGTGCTGATACTAATGGACTACTGTCGAGGTGAGTGTGGGCTCAACATATTACTCATTGGTAGATTTTCCCTTTTCAGTGCTTACAGGAAACTTGCACAACATCTTCCTTTAAAAAAAACCCAAAACTGTTCTTGGGCCTAGCCCTTCCTTGGCTACCAAGGAACCATTCTGAACAAACCAAAGCCAAAACTAGGTGCGGGGAAGTGGATGATATGTGAAGCTATGCTGACTCTGTTAATGGGATTGGTACCACCTTTGTCCCTGCTCAGGGTGGTCCTAGATCCTTTCTGTTGTGAAGGGGAACCCTTAAATATATATTGCTGTTTTCCGTAGGCTGGTCCGCACAAGAAGTGGCTCTTCTAAAGCTGCCAGGCTGTGGAATGAAATTCTTCTTCACTTTTTGTCATATTGCAAGCTTTTTTCCACTTCAGCCTGACTTAGGATTGTTCTGGAAGAAGCATGAAATGGATAATGTGAAGCTGAAAAGTACTCCTTTTACCTCTGACCTTTTTGCTTGGCTGTTTCTAGCCAGACAGGCTCTTCCAGTCTTTTCCAGCTGTCCCAAAGCTTTGATCTCTTGTGGCTAGGATGTGGTGTTTGGAAAATGACGCATGTGCTGTGCTCAAATGCCTCTCGCAGGAATAGTGTTAAGCAAAAATAATGTTTTGGCCAGGTGACTTCAGAAGTCTGTGGCTGTTTTGGATGGTGGCAGCTGATGGAAACAGGTATTCTTGGGATTGTTTGGCTTTTAACTGAAGCCAGGTGCATTGCAGCAAGAACAACTAGATGCTAAAATGCCTTTAAACTTGTATGGTACAGCTTTCTGTTCTGCCATGCCTTCTTTGCTGCTTCGTTTTGATGCAGGAATCTTCACTAACTTGCACTGGGTTTGTTTGCTGGTAAAAGGAAGAACCTTACTTGTAGTTTTGCTGAAGGAATCATTGCGTAAGCTCCCTGTAAGCTTAAACCTAAAGATCACAAGGCTTGTTGTAAGAAATAGGCCTGACAGTGCTAGTAAATACATACTCAGCTCCATGTTGCAGACCGCACTGTGGAGTGAAGTGCAAACTATAGCAGTTCAGAATGCACTCCCTCCAGCTGCATTAGCCTCCCCTCTGTGCCAGACTTTGGGCTGATGAAGTAAAATCCATCTTTCTAAGGCCTTTCCTTCCATCTGAAAGGAGGAGAGCTGCAAGGTGGTATTTTTCACGTAGCTTGCTTTTGCCAGATGCTCTGCTTGGCATATGCCTGTCTGTCTCCAGCATTCAGACTGAAGCACAGGAGTTGCTGTTATACGTTGGATTTTCCCTTGTTACTTTCCTGTTGTGTCAAACAGTTTCCAGACCAAATCAGTGTGTCTTTGTGTGCAGAACCGCACTCATTTTGAGTGCGGAATGTTCACAGCTGTACTATTTTTTAAGCTGAGCTTTTCTTTTGTACCATGGAAATTAAGTTTTCTGATACTTGTGATGTGAAATGATACAGTTTTGTTTTGCCAAAGGTTCGGAAAGGAGTTTTTTTTTCTCTGTATATGGGGTGTTTTGAGGGGGGAAGAATCCTCTGTGTGGATTGTTTTGGAAAGGCTTTGACAGCAACAAAACCTCAAAGTTGAGGCAAATTCAGGACTCATTCATGAAAACTTACTTTTGTTTGTCTGGAGTTTCCCTTATTATAGATGGATTTTTAGGTTTTTTGCCAGTCTGTGACTTTAGCCAAGCCACTTAGTAGTCTATGGGTTTTTTGAGTGTATCCCTTCCTCCTTACTCTTGCTTACATGTGGCAAACTATTTTGTGGACTGTGGGTGCCCCAAATTCAGCCTTTTATTCCTTTAGTCTGACAAAAACATCTTATTTTGAAGAAGAAAGAAAAAAATGCAACTTAGGCAAAATTACATTTGAGTCTTAACACAGCCAGGTGAATGTGGGCCTTAGAAGCTAACTTGTTGCTCTTGAAGCACTGTTCAAAGATGAGATGAGATGTAATGCCTGCTGGCAGATAGGGAAAACCCCCTGGGATTTAGGCGAGGAAATGAGAATGAAACAAGATGAGTAAGCAGATGGCAAAAAGCCTCTGGGGAAGGCTTGGTGCGAATTTTGAATTTGAACTCATGAACTACTTGTGCGCTGACTGTACAGCCACGGTTTGGTGGGGAGCAGACTAAGACAAGTTATCTCTGGTAGGATTGGGGCTTAGACCAGGCCAGACCTCATTTTGCATACCTGCTCTGATTCTTGGTGTCTGTTTCTCCTCAGGAGGTCAAGTGGTGAACCTCATGAACCAACGCCTGCAGACAGGGTTCACGGAGAATGAGGTCCTGCAGATCTTCTGCGACACCTGTGAAGCTGTAGCCAGGTTGCATCAGTGTAAAACGCCAATAATCCACAGGGATTTGAAGGTGAGTTGTGGACTCCAGTAATACAGCAGGGAGTGTGCATCCTCCTTAACGTGTGTGTCTGCTGCCTACGCCATGGCAGACAGGCTTTGAATACCAGTACTGTGTTTCTGTTGTTAGTAATGAGGAAAAGTGAACATAAATACCTCTCTCTATTGGAAGATAAAAAAAGGAATGAGCCTCATTGCTGCTTACCATATGTTTACCATCTATAGATCTAATTAAAAAACACAAATGTTTGTGAATAGTTCTGTTTTGCACAGGAGATGTGCCAGAATGTATCTGATGAATTATTCACGGTGACTTTCTACCACCTGAAACACTACTGATGTTATAAGGTAGTTCACAAAAAGCATGCTGTAAATTTGTTTCCTGGACCCACATTAAAAGGATCCTTCCAGAGATGTTGGCCTTGGGGCAGGAGTCATAAGAAGCTTTTGAAACTGGCCTCTAGCTCTCTGTTGACCATGAAAGTGCATTGTAAAACTCTGTGTGCTTAGCTGGGAACAGAGCTAGGCCAGCGGGGAGAGCTTTTGAAAAATCCCATGCCTATAATCAAACAAACAAACAAAAAGATGTTCCCTTTCCTCTCAACTAGCTCGTAAAATGCCTGAATAATATATTCAGCCAAGAAGGAGGCTCCTGTGTACATTTGAAATTCAGATGTGCTTTGAGGGTCAGGTTCTTTTCAGAGCCCTCAACAGATGTTTGTTTTGTGCTGTTGGCCATTGTTTTATAGGAGCAAAAGATGCCACATGCGCCAGTGAGAGCCAGGTAGCGCAGGGGGGGAAAAAATCTTCAGGGTATGCTTTAGCATGTTTCAAATGATTGTGACCCCACGGCTCAGTCAGTTTGAGTATATGAAACAAGTCTGACATCTGTTTTTCTAGAATGAAACAGGTGGAGTCTTATAAATTTGAGGCCTGGATTTAAAGCTGTTAAGGTCTGTGGGCATCTTGCAGGAGTTTGTATAGGCAAGGAAAACTGGGGTGAGAGGATGAGGCTTAGGAACAGGGACCTCTCCAGTTGATATTAACCCCTGCTATTACCTTTTTGGTGAATCCCTGGGTTTTTTTCATAAAGAACAAACTCATTGTGTGGCATGTGAATAAACTCTGGCACATCTGTGATGGATTAGTGAGTTGATCTTGAGCATTACTTTCTACACCGAGTTGCAGTTGAAACGGACTGTTACAGTCTGATGTCCAGCCCACTACTGTGTGCTTAGATCAGTAAAGTTTTTGCAAGGCCTGCCTCTTGGTAACCTGTGCCCAAGGTCAGAGAGTTGGCTCTTCTCTGCTTTGAGACATGTTTCCTAGTTGAATAGTCGTGTTATTTCTGTCATGATGACCTCTGGAGCTCTAGTCGCAATTGGGAATAGTACTAACACAGAAGTAATGATTTAGATATGTTTTGACTTTATTTGAGTTCAAATTTAATAATGCCAAGGGGGACCTGCAATTCCAAGAGAGATCAAGGGCCAGAGAAGTTTTGCACAAGTTCTGAGTGTAAAGAAAGATATCTGTCGGCTAGGTGTTTTGTTGGGGTGAACATAACCCTGCTGAAGAGTGGGTAGATGTTGACTTTGCAGACATCTGTGTGGGGATTGGAGGCTTTTTTTGCCTTCCAGCTCTTTGATGTTGCTCTAATACTGGAGGTTCCTGCCCAGAGAGCTCTGCCAGCAGAAAGAATCGTGTGAATAGTCTTTAAGCCCTTTCAGACAAACACAGCTGGATTAGTTTCAGCAGCCTGTGGCTGTGATTTTGAATTAACCCAACAGGCTTTGCCTGAAGCAGAACAACTCCTGTTGGCACAGTCTCCAGCTAATGGGAAGTTGGCTTTAAACTGAAAGAGGGTAGATTTAGATTAGATATAAGGAAGAAATTCTTCACTATGAGGGTAGTGAGGCACTGGGACAGGTTGCCCAGAGAAGTTGTGGATGCCCCATCATTGGAAGTGTTCAAAGTCAGGTTGGATGGGGTTGAGCAACCTGGTCTAGTGGAAGGTGTCCCTGCTCCATGGCAAGGGGCTTGGAACTAGATGATCTTTAAGGTCCCTTCCAACCCAAACCATTCTGTGATACGATTCTATGAAGTGACCAACAGCTGGGGACAGCAGTACCTTTAAGCAGCATGCCTATAGGCAAAAGTGGACATCTCGCTGCAAATAAAGGCCAGGAAAAAGGTAATATGCTATCTCTGTGTGTACTTAAGGTTTTCTTTCCTGATCTGATGGTTAACACTCAGGTGCTGTGTCAGTCTCTCCCTGTGTGCTTATGGCATCATGTGCCCGTACAGGGTGTGATGTTTAGTTTGATGTGCTTTGATTGACTGCCACAGGCCGTGTATTGACGCTGCTTTTTCCTAAAAACTAGGAAGCCCCTCATGTGCTGCCTCTGCCCTAGTTGGGACCCCTGTAGAGGCAGTGTAAGGTTATTGGCAGTAGGCTTGCCTTGCATGGTTACCTTTGCTTGTTCTTGCAGATGTTTTCCTCACCCTAAGGGTTCATAGCCATTGCTGCTGCAGGGCAATCCCTAAAAAGTTTATTTTTGTTTGTCTCTCTCTGGAGTAAGAACACTTCCTATACCTTTAGGTTAGGCCTTTTAACAGCGAAGAACAAATGGCCAAACCTTCTTCTGGCTGTTATATTACCCTGGTTGTGAAGTCTCTGCTTTGAAGTTGGAATCTCTGCAGAGAAACTGTAATTGTCAGACCCCAGAGGAGTATTTAGTGAGGTGGAGGGAGGGGAAAAAATCTATCTAGGACTGATGATAACAATTTACGCAGCTATCCTATACCTAGTGGCAGTTGTTTGCATAACTTATATTTAACCTTGTCTTCCCAGTCTCACATCCTATAATGCATATTGCTCAAAGCACCAGCTTAGAGCCAGCTTTGATTTCTACAGCTCAGAGCTTTCTGCAGTGAGAGGTCTCCCACTTCTACCTATGATGCTTCTGCTAGTCTGAACCCATCTGGTTGCAGGAGTAGATGACTGGCTTGCAGATGAATGGCTGATTTGTCTTGTAGTAGACACAGCAGGATATAGCAAAATACTGTGTCAGTCAACCTGGAGGATGCTCTTGATCAAAATATCTTTCTCTTTTCCTTTCCCTAATTTCTGAATTAACCAGAAGGTCGTGCTCTCATGTTAAGGATTTAGTTTCTTCTGCTTTCATTTTAGCAGGAGGCCTCCCAGTGTTGCATTTTGTGGTGTGATAAGATAGTCACGCAGTGCTGCTGTTATCTCTGTGCTTTCTTCCGTCAACCTTCTTTGTAATGCCAAGTCTTGCCCTGATGCCACCAACAAGCCTTTGCCTGGAATTTGTTTGAGTGGATCTGTGTTGAGAGTGTGATATGTAAAATTGTTCAGTCCTCTAGTAGTAAACCTTTGTACCAACTGTGTTTAAGAATATGCCTGTGCCAAAATCAGTTAGTGCTCTGAGATGCCACATTGCATTCATTTCTTTGCTATGAAATACTAAATAAGCTTTCAGAAGTAAATAGTGAATAAATAGTGAATGGTGCCGGGGAGGAAGGGAAGTTGAAACATCTCTAAAGAGACCTGAAGGCGCTGAAAAGCAGTTGGAAAGTGTACCTGTATCGTGCATCCCTCCCAAATTGCTACCTGAACTTAAAAATACCGGCCTTAGAAGCCATTGGTTTCATGACAGGATAATGCGTCTTGATTTTGCTAGTTAAAGTCTTATCCCTTATCCCTTGCCACTCTGTGTCTGTGCAGTGTTTTACTAAAGAAAGGTGTTTGTTTCAGAGAGCAAAGACAGAAGCTAGCTACATTCTGTAACTAACAAAACTTCAGGCAACTCATAGTTTCTCTTGAAGATTTTTGTTTGGCATCTAAATCTGACTTTGTCAGTGTTGGGCATGTCAGAGACTGCAGCCAGAGTTGTAAGTGCTCAGCAGTGCTGAAAACTGGATTATGGCTTTTTGAGTGTTTGACTGGAAGAAGGCACCTCCATACTCTTTTAAAAAAGACAGTTTTCTCTGGCCTGGCAGTCAGTAGCAGTAATTCAGGTACTTTGTTTTGCTGCTGGTTTTTTTTGTTGTTGTTGTTGTTGTTGTTGTTAGTTTGTTTTTTTTCCTGGAAGTTACTGAACAAGCCTAGTTGCTGGATAGTCCAATGCTGATGTTTAATAATACTTGGAGGATGTTTTAGTGAGAAGTCATGTCAGACTTCTCAGCCAGATAAAGCGGAAGGATTCTTCTGGAAACATTTGAGTATTTGCAGGGAATAGGGACTAATGCTGTCAGTGTTGATCTGCTGGGGAGAACATCTGTGTGCAATGCTTTATTCAAAGCAGATGGATAGCAGAGAGGGGGAAGGGGTGTTTTTTAACCCTTGGTTTCAAGCCAGCATTTCCCCCCTCAGCTGCTCTAATTTGGCTGCATTTTCTGATGCTTAAAATGCTGACTACTTCTTTTTCTTTCCTTCTTGTAAAGATCATCCTTGATGGGGAGCTCTACATACAAAAGATTTTGTTAGCGAACAACTTATGTAGTGATTTTTTTGAAATATATGAGCAGTATGTTTTATCTTGTTGTATCTGAGCATTTGACATTGATTGAAGATAAATATGTTAAAAATTGTGTGTGTTCTCTTGAGAGAACACACTATTAATGCCACTGTACAGATGAGGAATTGGAATGCAGGGATGCTCTGCCAAAGCAAGGAACTGAACCCAGGTTTTTCCACATCTTATATCAGTGTCGAAACATTTAGACAGCTTTCTTAGGTGGATGCAAGCTAGACTTTTGTTAATGCATGATTAAGTGTGAGTATTTGGGGGAAAGGCAGTGACTCTGCTGATTTTATTTATTTATTTTTCAGCTATCCCAGGTGTTTGTTTCAGCATTTGTTTGTTGTCTGATTCAAGCTACCAAATAATATTTAAAAGAAAGGAGTCATCTTCTCAGCAGCCTGGAGGAACCTCTGCTGATACAACCACTGTCTAGGGAGTATAGGGTACCCAACACATTCTAATAATAAGCAACTAAAGTGTGAGCATAAGCAGAGGTTTGTTTTGAATGAGACCCAAAGTGACAGGTGAAATGCAGGCAAAGAACTGGAGATGTATTACAATTTCAGAAAGCATAAAAGTCTGTGTGCTGTCATCAATTTGCCTCCTCTCTGTCCCACTAGGCAGCAAAGAGTTACAGCCCTTTATAAAGCTGTGGACAGCTTGTATTAGCTGTCCTAAATTCAGATGCCAGACTGTGGGTCATAGTAGCTCAGGGAAGTTGAGCACTAAAGACACTGGGACACAGTTCTAGTCCTGAAGCACATAGTAGTCTTAGAGGCAAGGTGATGTGCTTGCAAAAGGAGAAAGGAGGGGGTGGCAGGATGGAACGCAGTGTTACAACTATGCTTCCACGATTTGACTTCTATTTTACGAGCTGTGACAGAGTTTTGATGCATATTTTCTTTGCTTTCATGTTATACTTTTATGTCAGATGTGTCTGATATGTCTTCAGGCACCAAAACCCCTGCTTATCTAAAGAAAACAAATGTTTTGTTTTGGGTTTTTTTTTTCCTCTGAGTGATTCTGTATTTGTCTGTGATGCTTTCAGGTTGAAAACATCCTGCTGCACGATCGTGGGCACTATGTCCTGTGTGACTTTGGAAGTGCTACTAACAAATTCCAGAATCCTCAAACAGAAGGGGTGAATGCGGTAGAGGAGGAGATCAAAAAGTAAGTGCGCTTTTTCTTTTCAACTCAGACATAGTTTGTATTTGAAGGGTAATTTTTTTCTTGTACTGGGACTAAATTTTACTCAGGCCTGTTGCAGCAGATTGGATGCTGCTGCACAGAAGTGTCTGCTGCAGGTAAATAAGTGCCTGGGGGAAGGTGAAACAATAAATTGAGCTTGATGTAGTTGCTTTGGACCTGAAAGACTGAGCGTACAAATGCAGAGAAGTTGCCCACCTTGACAAAGTAGTGACATGCTCTGTTATGTATGGGGTCAGTCTATCTCTGTCCCTCATCTGTCTTGGCTTCTTTGAACTGCAGTACAGCAGATGACAAAATCCCTGTCCTCCGTGAGCCACTCTTCATAAATCCTTGCAGTGACTAAGGGAACGCATGGCCTAACTTCTCAGCTCTTCATAGAAAATGTAAGGACCTTGAGGTGTTTTATCTGGCTCCTTCTCTTCTCCCCATGCACGACCAGCTATAGTGCTAGCAACTAGGTGCACCCTGATTCCTTTAAAAAGGGAACTTGGCTGTTCAGTAGGACCTAGATCAAGAATGGAGCAGACTCGAGGTCCTTGGTCTTGCTTTAGTTTTAACAACATCACTGCTGCAAACTTTCGAGTTCTCTTAATACAATATTCTGGCTAGAAAACAGCATGTTAGAAATGGGTGCAAATGCCTCCTTTTTGTTAGGATTCAATTACACCTGCATGGATTTCCTAGATTGTTTGACTGAAGTTTTTAGAGCTCTCCTAGTCTGACTTTGCAGTCCCTTTGGAATACCCTATTTGTACACTTATTAACAAGCCTGCAAAACCTTTGCCTTTTGCAGTGCTTTCTTGTGATCAAGGTAAATAGCATGCAAGGTGCCATAGCAGAAATTATAGACCTACTGATAGGAAATCTTATCATAAGAGTCTCTTAAACTGTGGCACAGTTTCCAGCTTTTCTATTTGTAGTAATTTTTTGAAGTGAGGCAGATTCTAGCTATAGTTTGAGATAGGAAATAACCTTTCTCTTGTTTACAATGACTCTGAGCAGGAGTCCTGGTATGGAAGTCTATTTATCAGGAGCTACGTATCTGGTTGCAGTCTTTTTAATACAGTTGGCCAAAGCCCCAGCAGTGAGGACATTGCAGAGGACATTTGACTACTGTCCCTGTTAATACTCTGAATCCTTGAATATTTCTGTTCTAGTTCTTAAAATGTACTGTTTTGTGAGTAAATTGCTTGCTCTAGAAAGGATCTTGGTTACTGCTTTGGTTTCACAGGGCAGTTTGCAGTGGTTAGTATTTTATTGTTAAAGGTATATAGCAGATGCTGCTGTTAAAAGATTTTTCCAATAGATTGTCGTCTTTAGTATCCCTTTCACTAAAATGAATAGGGAAAGAGTGAATTATGAATTATTTGGAAATATGGCACAGTGAAAATGCATCTGATATCCACTTTGAACTCACTGATAGATCTTTCTGCTACAGGTACACTACGTTATCCTATAGAGCACCAGAAATGGTCAACCTGTATAGTGGCAAACTTATTACTACAAAAGCAGACATATGGGTATGTATAAAAACCGCTTAACATCATACAACTGGCCTGCAGCTTGCTTTCATTACTGTAATGACAGGGTAACTGTCTGGCTGGGGCTAACCTAGTTTCCGTAAGAGACTGGACAGTTTCTGAATAAAGAGCTCCTCTTCTTGACATTTCTGATGAGTTACTGCTGAGCAGGGTGGTTTGTGGATAAAACCTGCATGCTTCTTTGCATGCTGCCTCCCATGTGGTTTTAATTTAGAACAGTGCAAACCTGATTTCATATCTTAAGAGTTAAACCAGAAAATTCAGAGTATTGTGACTTCTTGTGCCTGGGTTGGGTTGCAAGCGTGTGAAATCAAAGTTACCGGTCAGCCTTTAGTAGAAAACTGCAAAAATAGACCTCGCCCCAGGAGCAATCCTGGACAGTGTAACACAGGTCTGAGTTGTCAAACCTGGCCAAAGACCAACCTTTTGCACTGCTGTTTCTAATGATCAGTGCAATCTTGCCATGCTTTTCATCTTGAGAGCAAAATGCAACTGTGGTGTAATCCATTACTGGCTAACCTGATCAAGGATAGAAAGCTTCCCTTTAATTGGGATGGAGATGAAAAAAAGTCTGTGCTGTTTGTAGTGGCAATTCAGCAAATGGGAGGTGTTTAAAATGCTAATTCAGTGCATGTTTGTATGGTTTCTGAAGCCCTGAGCTAGGAAGTAACAAGGCAGAAGCAGTATAAGGAGTTTTAATGTATCCTCAATAGCTCTGCATCTGCATATGCAAGAGGGAAAATTGCTGGTGTGACATCTGCTGGGAAGAGTCCTCTGTCCTCTCTGTGAGCTCTGTGAGCTTGGACTCAGGAATGCAGCAGCTCCTGTGGGGCTCTTGCACCGCTGAGTTCAGCAGGAGGTTTGTAGAACTGGGCCCTGTACCAGTGCCGGGTCACTCGCCTTGGTGTTAGAGACCCAGAGAGGGAAGGTTACAGCTGTAACAGCATGAAAAGATTGTCAGGCCCTCAAAGGCAGCCGGAGGAGAACCTAGGATTTGTGCTCCTTCCTGTGATAATGTGGAAAGGTGGAGACCCAAAGGCTGTCAAATAGCTCACCTCTTCCTGGCATGGAAGGAATTCTGTTCTGGTGACCCATGGAGTGTTTCCAAGCGAGCGTGTGGTGGTGTGCACACTGGGGCATCAATTTCAACGCCTGTTGCAGCACTTGTCCTGCTGGAAACCTCCATCTCCTCAAACCTCATCGAGGTTATTTTAAACTAGAGTGCAATTTAATTGTGAAATCCTATGACAAGATATAAGCTGATGATGAGTTGCTTAGGATTAGGAAATGTTTCCCTCTCTCCCATCTGAGATGGTGGGAGTGTTTCATAATTAGCCCTTTGTGCAAAACTTGTATTTTCTTTTGAAATAGGTGGTGGTTCTTGCTGTCAAAAGCAGCACGGAAATAGATGGAAGGGTGATATAACCTAGCAGCCTGCAGACTTATCTGTATCTCTCTCCCTGGTATATATTTATAACGGTTGAAAGGTTGTTTGAACTTAAGCTTGGAAACAGTTTGGTTTTTTCTTTGTCAGAATAAATGTATTAAGGATGATGGTTATCATTTATTTTTGCTATTACTTTGCTTTTCCCTTCCAGTATGTGGCGGAAACAGGCTTTGCCTGTTTAATGGCGTGAAGAGTTACACTATGTGGAACTGTGGGGTGTGTGTGATGATACTCACACAATCCCCCAGATTACAGGATCTCAGCCTGGCGAGGGAGAGCTCTTCATGTATTTATCTTCCCATAAAGCTATGCTTGTTTTCAAGTCGATCACAGGGATGTTAAAATGTAGGCCTGACATCATGCAGGACCTCTATAGTAGAACAAGCTAGAGCACTTTCCCTGTTACTTACAGTGGTATTTGAATTGTACCATTGCCTGGTTTGCTTCAGTTTAAATCCTTTGCTCTGTTCTCTCTCTTCAGGCCCTTGGCTGTTTACTGTACAAGCTGTGTTACTTCACCTTGCCATTTGGGGAGAGTCAGGTGGCAATCTGTGATGGCAATTTCACCATTCCAGATAATTCTCGGCACTCGCAAGACATGCACTGCCTCATCCGTAAGTGTCTCTGACAGTGGCATAATCCACTTCTGCAGAATTAAAAAAAATAGCAGAGGTGTTTTGTTCCTATATTCCCTACTCCTACAGTAAAACAGCTGGTGTTTCTCTTCTTTTAAGAGACTTGCTTTATCCACAGGGGTGGATAAAGTGATCTTTTAGTAGCTTGGGAGATCACTCTTCGAAAGAAATTATGACGAAAAGAGATTTCTGTTTGGCTAGGCTGTAGTGAACTCTCTGGAAAGGCAGGAAAACAGGCAGCCATTCGGTTTAAGAGTCCTACAGAAACTTGCACAATGAGCCTATTTATGCAGAAACGTATTTCTCCAGTAATAAATCTATTTGGATAAGGAACTGAAAAGAACCACAGTGACTTAGACTAGTGATAAGAATTCATCTTCTATGAATTGAGAAACAGAACTGAAATGATTTATAAATAACCCACTGACTAGAGTGAATGTGTAATTAAGGGTACAATGCACTACTGGCAAAGCTGGGGCAGCTCCCTTGTTTTCAGCACAGCTTTTAATTTTTTTTTTTTTTTTTTTTCCTTTTCCCTATTCCCTAGCCATGGTCTTGACTAACAGAGAGTTGAATGTGTTTGCAGAGCAGCCTGGTATTTTCTTTGCTTGTGTGGTCATATATGTGGCTGGCCTGTCTTCCTCCCCCCTGACGCACTGGGGTTGGATCAAGCTCTTTTACTTTGGGTTCACTTGGAAATGCAGAAGTTGAAACCAATGCTATTCCCTGACCAGGCAGGCTGCATTTCCCCTCCTTGCCCTAGAGCCTTCGACAGCAGCTACAAATTGTTCACAGCTGTATTGAAAAATATCTCCTAGTCCATCCTGACTGTCTGTCTTGCCCCTTTCTCTCTGACCCTGATGATCAGCTCAGCCCCACTGACCACCGACCAGGTGCTTTGAAAGACACAGGGCACCCTATTAGCATCTGGTTATACCAAATGTAGCTCTGCCACAAATGGGTCATGTGAATCTGTCTGTTGTATTGCTGATAGTAGCATCTCTGTATTTTAAAGGGTATATGCTTGAGCCAGACCCAGATAAGAGACCTGATATTTATCAGGTCTCCTACTTTGCATTCAAACTGGCAAAGAAGGAATGCCCAGTCCAGAATGTCCAGGTGAGTAGCAAAGGAGTGGACTGATACAGGGCTTTGTGGGAGGAGACCAGGGGTGGCAATTGGTGAATATTGAGTATTCTGCCGTATTCTGTTGGTTGTTCTCCAGTCCTGTAATTAGGAGGGTCTGTCTTCTTTTTTTCTTTCTTTTTTTTTTTTTTTCATAACTAGCAGTACTGTTTGGGGTTGGGTTTTGGGGGATGGGGGCAAGAATCGGGGTTTTGTTTCATATGTTGTTTATTTCTGTTTGTCCCTGATTTACCTCCTCACCCAGTTACCAGCATGAGGCCAACCAAGAGATCTTGTGCACGTGAACATGGAAAATTAGGCCATGCTTGTGAAACTGATTTGATGTTCAGGCACACTTATTGCATGCATAATTTGTGCTGCAGTTGGTTTTAAACATAGCAGTTTTGTCTGCTGGCTGGCTGGGACTAGCCAACTTGCATTTGAACCACATCAGACCTTACACAATTACCTGCCCCTTCTTAGTGTATCTTTATAGACTTCAGCTGAAAAAATAGAGTTGACAAGTATTTTCTTATGGTGTTAGGGACATCTGTGACATGACATTTTCTTTTGTTGTTTCCAGGTAAGAAGAAACCTTTTTTTTTTCCCCCCCAAGTTTAGGTGGTTATTTATGGTCTTTCTGAATAAGACATGGTTTTAGTACTATTGTGCCTGTATTTTTTATAGCAGTATTAATAAGTATTGCTGCTATTGTCCCCAGGTTGTCTTTTAAAAATACCCGGGTTGTGCTACGAAGCTTTGTGTTCGGATTCCACGTGTAGTAAATGGTCAAAAAGCTGAACCGTATTTTTCCCTTGTAAAGACTATCCCAAACTACTGTCTTCTCATGACATTAACATTGAGGGCATTGTCCTGTGTCCAGCATGAGGAATAATTGCTTTGGGGATCCCCCAATATCCCCGTTTCATTGTGATGCTTTTGCAAATTTTTTCTGACTCTGTTTTCTGCCCTCAAAATACAAAATTCGGTGTTTTGGGGATCTGCAGAACTCTCCGATCCCCGCTAAACTCCCAGACCCGGTTAAAGCAAGTGAAGCTGCTGCAAAGAAGAGTCAACCAAAGGCCAGGTAAACACCTCTCTATTATGCTCAGCCCTCTCTCTTTTTATTGTCTGTTGTCTTTCTGCTGTTTATTAGGAAGGATGCTTGGTATATTTAGCTGCTTCCTTGTGGGCTTACATTTACACATGGAGACAAACATTGCAGTCCTGAGGCTTTTGCTTCAACGACATAAATAACCATTGATCTAATTGATCTGAAAGGCAGAAAATGCAGATATTGGGGGAAATTTTTCTGCATGGTGGGGGTGGGACTTTGACGATGCTCAGCGTGACTCAACATCTAGGCTTTTTGTACTGAAGACATTGCTTGATGGCAGCACTTGAAGTTCATGCACTTAGATGAATCTAGTGTGTCATCCATCTGGAGGCAGTACCTGGAGTACCTGAGAGCAAAGTCAGGAGAAAGACTGCAGCTGGCCTGCAGTGGGCCTGGAATTGGCCCGGAGACCATGAGTCTGCTGAGAAACTGCACTGGGGACTATTGCTGTTTGAGTTTGACCCTCGGCAGATGATAACCTGATGCAGTCATTACTGTATGAAATTGCTGTGATTTCTGCAAGAGTCCTATAATTTCTTCGGGGCGGGGGATGACGACGACACAGGGGGTGGGGAGCAGGACAACACACAAAAACCCAACCAGTCTGTATCTGAAGAGCCCAATTAGTGGGGAAACCACTGTACTGCTGTGGTTTTCTCCTCTCCTGCTGCTGCTTGCACTGCTTATGATACTGTAATTGAGACTTGTAAATTCTGTTGGACAAAACCTGTACCTTATTTTACTGCAAAATGAGCAGTACAGCAGTGGGCACTCTAAAACCAGCAGTTTTCTTCAGACTCTGAAATAGGGCGTCTTTCCTCCTGTCTGTCAGTCCCAGGAGTCTGCTTTGTTTGTTTTTATAATTGAGTGCAGCTACTCTCACGTTAGTAGAACAACTTGATATCTAACAAGCAAATGTATCCACAGAAGGGCAGGGTGGTGTCTGCCTGCTTGGCTCTGTTGCTGTGAATTTTTGGAGCTCAGTAAATATCAAGCAAAGATCAGAAGACGTCCAATGACCTGATTCTGTAGTAGATGTACTAAAGTTAAGTTATGTCTAAAGATGGCAATTTAGACAACTCTGCCCAAAGGTACCGGCTGCTCTTAAGCTAATTTATGTCCTTCATCTGCTCATCTAGAGTTCTAAGTGGATTTAAACAATATTTGTAGCAAATATTCGAATGAGTTGAGTGATTTTGACAAGTTCCAGCTGTCCAGCAGGAGAAGATGCCACAATTGGCAAAGTTGTCAAAACAATAGTGTCAGGTTAATTGTTGTGAATGCATCCGTTTAAGTTTTACTAAGCTTGCAGTTTTCTGGAAAGGGTTGATGTGTGTGTCTGGATGCGCACAAATGCTTCACCTTTATTAGTCACATACTGCTAAAGTATGGATGAGTTTTTAAACCCCTACTGTGTCTTCCATGCACCAACTGTCAGGCAAACAAAGACTGTGCTCTTCCTTTTATTCCTTTCCTTATTTTGTAGGCTGACAGATCCCATCCCTACGACAGAAACTTCCATAGCACCTCGCCAGAGACCTAAAGCAGGACAGACACAACCCAACCCTGGAATTTTACCCATTCAGCCAGCCTTGACGCCTAGGAAGAGACCCACGGCTCAAGCAGCCATTCAGGCACAAGGTGAAACCATGATCCTTGTGTGGTGCTTTCCTGCCGGGCACTGCATACTGCAGAGCTGTGGTGCATGTTGTTCTAATGGATCTGTCTTTCCTCCCCCTGCCCTTACTAGTTGCAGGACCTGCTACCCTGGGCAGTGGTCAGCCTTCACTACCTGCAAGTGTCCCCCAGCAAAAAGCAGCACCTCAGCAGGCTCCAGCACAGCCACAAGCCAAGCAGGCACCAGCTCCACAGCAGGCCTCGCAGGCACAGCCCCAGGTCCCTTCTACTCAGCCACAAGCCACACCTCAGCATCAACAGCAGCTTTTCTTGAAGCAGCAGCTTCTGCAACAACAGCAGCAGCAGCAGCAGGCTGCCTATTACCAGCAGCAGCAGATGATGCAAGCTCAGCAGGTAGGTGTGCATGGCCGTGTTTGTTGCATACTTACCGTGCTAGAGGTCTGCAAGGCCGTATCTTTGCATTTATGGCAAGTGCCCTGTTTTTTTGGGGGGGATACATGCAGTTTTTAGGCATTTTCCAATGTGTCTAATGAGATTTTTTTGCTACGCAAGGCTGGCATTTTTAACTGTCAACGTGGAAGGCCTTGGCATAGTTTTGTCATGTACAAACATAAAATAAGCAATGCTGGTTAAGTTTTTACAGCTCTAAGTGTTTTAGGGTCTTGAGGTCAATGCTCAACTGATGAGCAGAGGGGTACAATTTCTCTTCTGCTCTCTTTGTGGTACAAGAAGCCTGGCATGCCTTTTCAACGGTAAGATTCAGGTCTGTGAATGCATGAGGAGTTAGATGGGATGTGTCTAGATGACGGACTTGCGTGCTTAGCTTAGGTCTTTATAGCAGCACAGATCTCTGCTAAAGCATATTTAACAGTGGAAGCAAAGGGACAGTGAATCTTCCTATCTTGTGGAAAGGTTTGGAATTGATAAAAATGGAGAAAGGAGTTTGAGACCACAGGACAGTCTGTGCCATGGGACCCCCATACAGGCAGGTGTAACACAGAAAGGATCTAACGTTAGACCAGAAGGCCGTTTTCCACCACTCCTTTGCAGATGGTCTCCAAACCATTGCAGCCTATTACTGCTTTGCCACTTGCAGTGGCTGTAACTGTTCCTGTGACAGACCCTGAGTTCTGGTGGTGGTACCCCTGTTCCCAGCTGTGCAACAAGTGGCTCAACAACTGGTTGTTTCCCAGTTCCCAGTGATGCAGCAAGGAGCGCCAGCACAACAGCAGCTGATGCAGAACTATTACCAGCAGCAGCAGCAGCAACAGCAGCAGCAGATGATGGCCCAGCAGGCAGCAATGCAGCAGAAGACAGCAGTAGCAGCGGTTCAGCAAAAGCAACAAGCCCCGGCGCCACCGCAGCCCCAGGCCCAGCAAAGTGCAGCCCAGCCAGTGCAGCCACAGGAGCAAGTGGTAAGAGCCTTGCGGGAAGGAGTGGGGCAGCAGGATTTGGAGGACTGGCAAGTGTTCTCCTGCCAGGTCCTATATGCTGGGAACACCCCAGCAGGGTGGCTGGCTTTTCAGACCCACAGAGCCCAGGTAAATGGTGCTCTAGGGCCTGCTGGTCCCTAGTGCATTATTACTGAGTCGCACGTGTCGGCACTAACCTTGCTGCCTCAGACACACGTGCGGTTGTTTGGATTGCTCTTTCCAATGGGATGATGGACTCTGGAGTTGTGCTCTGGGTCCATAGAAAGAAGATGAGTAAATGATGAGTAGAAAGCAGATGAGAAGATATTCTCTCTATCCTTCCCCTGTCAAATTGTCCTAGAAGATGCGATAAACTCTTTGAAAAGTTATTTGTACTCAACGCATCAGGATGGGCACCGGGCAACAGAACTACTTTATGTTGCTGCTTGTTTGGAAAACTTCCATCTTGTATTCAGGGCTCTGATGCAAAGAAAGGTGCAAGCAGCCTTCCTGGTTGTTTTTGGCATTAGGATAACTTTTTCCTTTAATGAATACTATGGAAAGGAGACTTTTCAAAGCACTGTATCTAAAAATAAATAAATAAATCGGCCACTTTACCAATCATCTGAACAAGTGTCCAAAATAAATGCTCTTTACTTAATGGAAAATACGGCTGTCTGCAACAGGGAAATAGCCAGCTGTCCACAATGTTAAAGGCAGGGGAGCTGTGCCAGAGGGCAGGATCCCCATTGCCAAAGTGTCTCTGCAGTACCTGTGGGAGGAAGCTGTGCCTTTTGCTTTCATTCCTGTGCAATTCCCTCCACTCTTGCTTGTTTTTGGGAGTGCAAAGGGATGTCCCTAACTCTAGTTGAGTGTTGGAAAGAAAGCATGTGCAGGCACCAGACAAGGGGAAGCTGCCTGGTATTTTGCTGTACCAGGTTGCACGTGTGCAAAGCAAACAGTATCTGATAACAAACCACTTCAGGTACACAATGTTTGAGTCCAAACTAAGGGCAATTTGTGCTTGCTTGTTCATGAATTGCCAGTTATTCAGGGCCTAATTAATCTCTTGAGCATGCTTCCTTTAAAGTGACATCAGAAATTAATTTGACTAATAGACTCCATAAGCCAGTGACCTGAGCAATGCTGGGGATGCATTGTTTGTTTTGCTCTCTGGTGTGTCTTGACACTCTGTCATATTCACCCCCTTTTCTTTTATATTAATTTTCAGCACTAAGCTGATTGTTAGGGTAGGTGACAAGCTTGGAGCTGTTGTGTTCCTGGTCTTGTTATTCTTTTGCTGAACGACCTGGGGCAAGTCAGTTTATTGAAATTGGTGGGAGATTTTCAGTGCATGCAGACAGGTTTTGGATGGTACCCATTATTACCCTGTTCCTTTTAGAGGAGAAATGCCTGAAACAGAGTATTGAAGTGCATCTCTTAAAGAGCTTTGCTGTGATTCACTAGCACAGAAACAGTCTTAATTTTATTAAATCAGCTAGATTGAAAATTAGCCTTATCCCCCTGGAAGGCTGATCAGAATGGACGTGTCTGGACACTTCTCCACTCCTGCAGCAGTCAGGCGGGAAAAAGCAGTGGTTGGCTCATTTAAAAAACGATAGTGATACATGGTCTCTACAGAGCAGAGTCACTGAGCAGAAGATACCAAGCCAGGACCCATCAAAACCTTTTCATGTTGTGAGACTTCAGCTTAATAAGCTCTGAATTCATTTCTGTGGCGATTTCGGCACTGCTTTTTTATTTCTCAGCACCAAATGTACTGTTCTGCAGTGACCTATATAGCAAGATGTAAGGTGGGTGCATCAGAAGCAGTCAGGTCAGTTTGCTTCTCAGCTGCAGTGAATTAGTCTGCCTGAAAATGCCAGATGAAAAGCAAGACAGCTAACTACTTTTTTGCCTTGTCCCACTGTAGTTAAGCACCACACGGGGGACATAACTCTTTTTCTCATTGCCCTCTTAGGTCTTTCCAAGTCTTTCATCTGTCTTCCTTGGTCAAAAATGGCCTGGGATGATATGGGATGGGGAACAGGGAGCTAGGGCCCAGGCAGTGAAGGTGATGTTCACAGCTTTCTGCTCTTTGCATTCTAGTTTTCCTGCTTTAAATCCAGCCATTATACTTCACTGACAGACAAATTTTGAAAAATCACATAATTGGACGGGATGCTGTTGTTTATCACTACAAAACAGTATTTCAAGTATTTATGGGTTTGCGAGTTTAACACAAGAGTGAGGTAATGGAAAAATAAGATCAGTCTGAGGAAACCCCTTGAACTTTCTAGAGGGTTTGTGGCTGGGCTATCTTGGCTTACACCTAAACCAAACATGCCTGTTTTTCTCCTCCAGATTTTAATGATAAATGTTGCTCCTGTGGTCCTCGCTGGTTGTTTTGTTTTGTTGTTTGTTTTTTTTTTTTTTTTTTTTTCCTCCTAATAGAAATCTAAGAAAGCTTCTTGCACAAGATTTCTGCAGAAGACCTGTATTCCTTTAGGGATTTGACCCCAGTCACACATCTGCTGGAAGAAGCGCTGCTCCTCACCTTACCCCACTCCTTGTGTCCCTATGACAAGACTCCTGCACACTATGATCTTGATTTCTTTTTTTTACCTCTGTCCTGGATCTCAGCCTCTTTACCCATGAGCAAGTTTGAGACCAGCTAGCCTTTAATGACAAGCACTAATAGAGGCTTTGCCTCCAGAGTTACACCATAGAAAGGGGGAGAAAGTCTCTGCTTGTGCAATTGTAGTAATCCTGAAACAGTATAAATCTATGAATTACCTCCTGCCCCCGATTCTTTTGTTGGTTTGTTTTTTCCCCTCCAGACTATCCCCAATCCATCACTTGAAGGTCAGATCCTCCAGCATATAGCCATTTTTTCATCATGGCTGTTGTTCCTGAACAAGGACGTACCATTTTACTTTTTCTCCTAGATGCAGGCACAAATGAGGCAACAGCAAAAACCTCAAACCACGCCCCCCACAGCAGTGCAAGGTCAGAAGCTGGGCTCTCTCACCCCTCCGTCCTCTCCCAAGACGCAGCGTGCGGGACACAGGAGGATTCTGAGCGATGTGACCCACAGTGCGGTTTTTGGGGTTCCAGCCAGCAAGTCTACCCAGCTTCTTCAGGCAGCTGCTGCTGAAGCCAGTCTCAATAAGTCCAAGTAGGTGGCTGGTCAGTTGGTGTCAAAGGGTATGGAGGGGAGGGGGTAGATGAGGCTCTTCAGAGATTTCCTAGGTAGCTAGGAAATCAAGCTCTGAGATGAAGGTAGGCAGCAAACTCTGAGGTTTAAATTAGTCTTTGCCTTCCCAAGACAACAGTTTAGGGCTTGGTAGAAAGTTGCTGAAAAAATTCCCCAAGGGCAGAGGTCCTCTAGTGCTTCTGTGCTCCCCAAAAGCTAAGCAAGCAGCGTGTTCCTCTGGATTACAAAAGCTGGTGTTGTTTCAGCTGTTCCACCAGTAGCCCTGGTGCATGCTTCACGCTTGCTGCTTAGCATCAGCGCTTCCCCAGGAGTATTTGCTAGCTCACTTTTATAGTGCCTACAGGCAGGAAGCCTCCACGTGGGCAATGCAGAAAATTGTTTCAAATGGGATGCTCATGATGCTTGTTTTAATCCCTGACACCAGGATGCTCAACTAGATTAAGAGTAGATAAGGTTAATTGGTCCCAGGTTTCTGGGTATGCAAGTACAATAACTTGTGCTGAGTGTTTTAAGTAGGAAGTAATTATAATGCAGTAGCTTGGACCAGCTCGTAGTGCTGGCCAGAGGATTTCAGATGGGTTGTTAATGACTGTTGTTTGGTTGGGATGATCACATCCAGATCTGCTTCCACCACACCCTCGGGTTCCCCAAGGACCTCACAGCAGAATGTCTATAACCCGCCTGATGTCTCCACGTGGAATCCGTTTGACGATGATAACTTCTCCAAACTCACAGCTGAGGAGCTGCTGAACAAGGACTTTGCAAAGCTAGGTGATGGTAGGTTCATGGAGGTGGTTTAATGCCAGCCCAGTCTCAAAATGGAAGACGGCATGGAAAGATGATGCTTTTGGTCAGATGCTGCTGGGGTGCTGCCGTATTATCATGGTCCTCTGTGCCTGTTAGAGCTAAATCCTTCCAATTTCCCTTCTCAGTCCCTGTCCTCTTTGAGCAATTACAATTAAATGAGTATGATCCTCAAAGGTAGAGGTACTAACTGCTTTTAAAGTGGCATTGATCACTTGGTTGTAGAAGCTACAGTTTAAACTCTGCTTCACCTGCAAGGTATGATTTGCAGGAAGGGGCTTAAGTCACATGCTGGAATAGAGTCCTAAAAAATCTAGGTAAGCAACCTACCTTTGGAATGGAAGTTTTTCCCCTAAAACTGCATCTGGCATTTCAGGGAAAGCTCCGGAAAAGATGGGCAGTTCCACAGAGAACTTGATTCCAGGTTTCCAGCCGGCTTCATCTGCAACCCAGGCAGATGCATTTGGTGGCTCTTCCTTCACTGCTGGATCAGGTGAGTTTGTGAACATGTCCTATAGGACAATACCTTGGACAGTACTGCAGAAAAATGGCAACTCTTTGTCATAGCCTCTTTGAAAGGAAGGTAAAACTGATATAAATTGAGCTGGGCCTTGGCACTGAGAACTGCAGGATAGGGTTGGCACTTCAGTAAAGAAGGGAAGGTAGGAATGGCTCACGTACTTGTCACAGTTGGGTAGCAGAGACAGGAGGCACTGTCTATAGGCAAAGGTGAGGCTTTTGGTGAGGGAAGAAACTAAGTGAGCCTCTTAAGTTCGCAAGAAAGCTTCTTAACATGTTAAAGTTCCATGCAGTTCATAATTAGAAGTAAAATATAGAGTGTGCAATAAGGGAATTGGAGTCAGAGACATCGGTCAGACGTGCTGGAGGATATTCCTTGCCTGCAGTTGTTAGGCTGTATGAAGCAGGGGAGCAGGGATAATAACTTCTCTGCTGCAGAATGAGGAGAATAGCAGACACAGGAGTGCGCAGGGAAAATCCTCAGAGGAGAGCATGGTTAGTCTCATAATTGACATGTTAAATGGTGAAGGCAAGAAGTTTTGCACTGGCTGTGCTGTCTGGGTCCAGGGGCCAGGAGTCCTTGGCTGGTCTAAGGAGCTTTTCGGCAGGGGCCTCTGCATGCGTGACCTTGTCTGGTGCCTCCTTTGGTACTTTGGGTACCAAGATTTTGCCATGAGAAGCCCCTTCTGTGCCGAAAAAACTCTGTGAGTGCTGCTTCTTGTTTCTGTTTCTTCAGCATCAATTCTCACTGAATGCAGCAAAGACCTGCCAAGCACAGTATTGGAAAACTGCTTTCAGGAGCCCTAAATGCAAGTAATCCTCTCCCCTGTCTTCTGTAGCCTTTGTTACTGGTGACAAATGCAACTGTTTGATGCTTCCTCATGTAAGCGCACCAACCCTTGGTGAGAGGAGTCCTGGGAAGAGACTGAAGAATCCTTTGTGGGGCAAGAAGTGACAAATGCATTTACGCTTATTTCTATTTATAAAGAGAGATTTAGAGGAGCTTATAACTGAGCTTGGTATTGTTGACTCTTACCTGAGAATTAAGAAGTTGAAGTCCATGACGCAAGAGTGCTCTAGGGGGTTGCTTTCTGAGTTTGTCCAGCTGTTCAGTTCCCTGTGAACAGTTTATGATGTTCCATCAGTCTTTGTGGAGTGATGTTGAGTAGCAGCAGCTCCAGATTCAGCTGTAATGTACCTTCTGCAAAGCCTGAGAAATATCTGCACATTCCGGGCTTTCTGGACACCGTAACATTCAATTCTTTTAGTAGTTGTCTTTAAAATGTGCCCCTTGACTTTCCTGTCCTGCAGTTTGGCATAGGAAGGTGTCTTGGAAATTCTTTTGGTGCTGGCACTGGGCTGGGCACTTGAAGTCCTTTTCTTTTTCTTTCCTCATAGATAGGAGCCTGTCTGATGCAAGATGCTGTATCTTTTATTTCAGACAAAGAGGCCCAACATGGGGGCTGGCCTGCTGTGTGTCCTTTGTTAAGGCATTTCACCTTTTGTGCCGCTGTAAAGCGAGATAATAGTACTTCCCTTTCAAGGAATGTTTTGAGATCTGTGGGTTAAATTGTGTTGGAGAGCTACATGGTAATGGTTGTTTGGTTTTGGATTTTTTTTTCTTTACACTAGCAACATAAACTTGTTCTGAGCGTGGATGCGTGTGTCGTTCTTGTCAGGCTGTAGCTTGGACTCTGTAATATTGAGCAGTGTCTGTGCTGAGATTTTGCTCGATGCTTTCTGCTTTTCTCTCTTTGTTTCATTCTGCCTTTTGTCTTCCTGGTTAGCAGCTGAAAAAACGAAAGACATTCTGAGTTTGGACACTAGCCCTCCTCTTCTGACTGTGCCTGATCCTTTCATTCCTCTCCCGTTATCCGACACGCCAGGTAACCAGAACTGAGTTTATGGAGGGGGGCAGATTCTTGTTGTTTGTTTTGTACTCTTAATCTTTCGGTTCTATTTCTAGGCACACCTGAAATCCTGGGCCTCAGTCAATGGTGCTGGGTACTGATAAGCTCTGCTGATCTTAGTGGTAGTAATGATGTGTAGTGCTTTCTGCCATTGAATATCTGTGTGTTGGTGGGAGCGGTGCTGAGCACAAGAGCCCTTAGTTTTCATGGCAGACCCTAGGGTTATCATATTTTTTTCTAATGACAACAATGTTGGTGTCTCTAAAGGTTCAGTATTCAAAGCCAAAAATAATCACTGGGTAATTACCTGTTCTGACCTAAGCCATTTTCAAATTGGTCTCCAACTTTGAAAGTGTAGTTTTTATTATTGTGAATCTTTCTTTCCTGTAAGAGTCAGTGTTTCTTTGGCTTCCAAGGTCTATTGCAAATGCGTGCTTCATGTGAAGCACAAGTTAAGATGTAACCTTTTCTGAATTGGCAAAATTTTCTGGTGCAGTTGGTAGCTATTTCCATTTACTTTGCAGTACTACTTAAGTCTTTCCTGTGTGCACATTTCTGACTGCAGCAGCCAACACTTTTTAGCACAAGATTATGTAAGTACTTAGGAGCTTATTTGCAAATCAGTGGATTTGGAATATGGGAATGTTTTTATCTTGGAGTTTCTCTAAGCCCTCTGGTGAATGTGTGTGACAGGTCCCTTCTTGTCAGCTAGCCCCAGAGGACAAATGCTTGTTACAGCTCTCACCCTTGTCCTTAGCTCAAGCTGTGGATTATTGGTGGTTTGACAGTAGAGGACCCAAGCTTCAAAACGACATGCTTGTAAAGATGGCATCTCTCCATGGAAAGTTAAGCAATTTGGGGAAAAAAAAAACCAACTATTTTTTTCCATAACTCTGTGGAACTTGCTTCCTTTTGGTTGATGCTCAGAGAGCATGAGAAATGTGTTTTGGTTCAAAAGGGTTTTATTCATAGATGCTGCAGTTCGAGAAAAGAAGCAGAACTGTCTCTCCTCTGTGAGCGCTTGCCAGGAGCTGACCTGCCCAGCTATAATTTGAAAAGAACCTACAGGAGGCAGATGACTGCACGTTTTTCTCTGCCCACCCACCCCCCTCCCCCAATGCTATTGGAAGCATTTGGTTTTCCTGACTTGAAGTCTGTTGGCCCAGACTACTATTTAATCCTCTGCCAGCATGCTCAATGCATACAGTTGCACACCAAGACTGTTGTTTTCCTTATTGCCTTCTGCATTTTGATACAGCACAACCATACGAAGCAGCAGTTGCAGCCTTAGCAGTGGGAGCTCTGAAATTCTTTATAGTACAGAAGCCACTGCAGAGCAATTGCCTTTCAACCCTGCCCGTGGGTGCAAATAATCAGAGCAGCACTTGTCTGCAGTTTTTGTGGTGCCAGGTTGCTTGTCCCACAAATCTGTCCCTGACCAGTTGTGTATCTTTGCAGGCAGGTGCTAAACCTTCTTTTGCTAATCTCTCTGCCTGCATGTGTCTGGTCCTACTGAGTTCAGTGGATCTCATTCCATGGGGGCAAAGCCGTGGGCAAGGGCATGCAGGAGATCTGGCTGTGTTGGCTTCCTGCAGGTTTCTGCAAAGACATCTCTTGAATTTATTTTTTTTTTTTTTTTTTATTTTTAACATAAATGTTGAGGCCATGAGCTCATGAATGTTTTCAAGGAGCAGAGCTACAGACTTATCCTTAGCTTTGAAAACTGAGAGGGGTTATCTGTGCTTGTAAATTCAACAGAAAAGATAAAAATCCTGGATTTGGGCTTAGGTTTTCAATCTATGTGTTTTATCATGCAGAACAGAGTTGTCTTTGTTCTTCTGTGTCTGTGTTACCTGGGCAGAAACATCCCCAGAGCAAGCAGAGAGGTCTTGGATGAGAGGGATGTGCTGACTTGCATGTGAAAGGCATTCTTTTGGGTGTGCCCCTCGGGTCAGTAGAGCTGGGATTGACTTTAGTCTCTTAGTATATCAGCATCTCCAGTTGCACATCTCCAAGCTGTCTTAGTTTTGTGCAGAAGCAGATGAATTTTTGAATGCTTGCTAAATATTTGCGTTCTGTTTGGAACATTTTTATTTCTGAGAAGACCTTGATAGTGAATCTCATTGCTTTGAAAACATTTTACGTCTGTCTCTTTATGGACTGGGAGCATGCATAGCCCTTTCAGAAGTAAAAGCGTGAGTCTTTACCCCTTGGTTACAAGAGCAGTGTTGTTCAGGAAGGCTTTTAGTACAGGCATAAGTGAGGCTTTGATTTGGTATTTTCCCTATTTGTCATACAGAGCCAGTTTTGTTGGCTTTCTGTGCTCTAAACTCGTGACAGCTGAGGGTCTGGCTGAGAGCTCAGCTTCTTTTTTTGCTTAAGCCACAAACTTGCTCCCTTTGCTGGCACCTGAGGGTGCAGGTGGCATCACTTGAATGTTGGCCAGAGACTTCCTTGAGCTTTCCTACCTTTCCTCTGTTTGCTTGGAAGGACAGATGAGCCCTTCTATCACAGATTCCTGAGAAACAAGTAAATGATGCTTAACACATGACAAATAGCCATAGGGTGCATCCTTAGACAGCCTAAATATGTTCAAATGGAGGAGCGTACTGCCATGGAGCTACAGCCAACAGATATGGCTTTAAGTATGACTGCTTGCTTGTAGGTTTAGCAAGATCACACTTTTGGTTTTGTGTAGTCAGTTAAATGTGTACAGCAAGGACAAACCTTGGACAGCAGGTTCTAGCAGACTATCCTGTTTGTGTGGATCATGGCGCTGGAAATGCATAATATCCTAGAGGAGGTTGTTTTTTCATTTGTTGTGGGTGACAAGCTTTGCAGTAAGTGTGTCCAGAGAACAGGTAATGTAGTACCCTATAGAAGGCAGAAATACCAGCTCTGGACAGCAATCAAGTAGAAGTAGGATGGTTTTCAGTATATTCCTCCTTCTCCAATGTGTAATGGCTGCAATTCTTAATGGAATTGTAACTAGTAAGAGATGCTGGCAAGAGGGATGTAAAAATATGGCAAAACATCTGTTAAAATAAGGGAGAATTAAATATTCATGCTGAAAACATTTTTCCTTGTGCATGTATAGGAAAGTGAGCCAAGTTCTTCTTAATAAGCTTATTGCAGGCTTCACTGCTGGTTAATCATAATAGAGTATTTGATCAGAATGGTAATTTTTCTGCTACATGTGGCTACTTAATGTCTATCAGTATGAATTTAGCTCATGTGGGCATGGGAGGCTAAATTTTGCACAAGGTATTCTAGAGAGCTGAAATTAAATGGACTTATGAAGCTTCAAGGCAGATCTTTTCCTTTGTCATTGAGGCTTTGCTCCGTGAATAGTCCCAAGTCTAAAGTTTTTACACCTGTTATGTACAGCAGGATTTGTTTCTTTTGACTTAATTTCTATTGGCATGAATGAACTTTGGGCTCAATCCTGAAAACCTGCTTTGCAGAAGTATTTAATGAGAGGTTTCACCCAGAGCATGTGAATACTTCTGCTTTAGCCCACATCCCTTATTAACCACTGAAACTAAAATGCTTAAGCGCTGTCTTGATGTAGTTACCCGCACTCTTCAGACATCCATTAGTGTCAGGAAAGGTTTTAGATATATCCTCTTTACTCTAGAAACATCTGCTCAGATAAACAAGTTTTTGAGTAAGTGAAGGGTGGATCCAGTGCAATGCCCTCTGAGATACTGCCAAAAATACTCTTTTCCAATTGTTTCAGGGTTGGTTGGTTTGTTGGGGGGGGGGGGTCTCCTCCTTGCTCTAGTTCCAGATAAATGTTGTTCTCCCAGGTGGCCTGTGCTATCAGCAGTCCTGGCTTATTCTCTCCTCTCTGCAGAAAGAGGAGAGAGATGAGGTGGTGGGTTGGCAGCAGAGCAAGCAAAGAGCTGTTGTTGAGCAGCGGCACTGAGGTGTGAGAGCTGAGAAAAAGAAGCTCTGCTCCTCCATGTTACTGGATGGAGGACAAACTCCCCCGTGCTGCAGATTGCACCGCACTGATTCATGTGCGAGCCAAGTCCATGTGTGTGCAGGGTGGTGGTACTGGTGGCCTCTGCACATCAGTACTGAGTACAATACTGTCTTTGCACAATGAGTCAGTCTTTGTTACCCCTTTTCAAAAGAGAATGGATCATTCTTTGCGAATTTACACAACCATTTACTCCCTGCAATAATTCAGCACCTTGGCTGCAGCTGACACAAATGTGTCTTTAGTGTAGTTAGTTGTTTGAAGAACAGCAACATCAAGCGGCCTCTGCGACATTGTCTTGCCCGTAACAGAAAGTGAGATAAGAGAAATTCCATGTCCAGCACAGCTAAGTAAACATGCAGACATAGCTGGGGAAGGAAACACAGGCCAAGAAAGCACGCCTGTGCCATCTGGGCACACACTGGATTCTCATTTTTGATGAAAAGGCAAACAGCATTGCTTATTAAAGAGTCATTGTCATGTTGGAGCTCTCCAAAGCTTTTAAATAGCACTTTACAGATTATTTTTGCCTTTTTATTTCCTTCAAATACTCACAGACTTGTGTGGTTTTACATTAGCCTGAGAGGATGCTTATCAGGGCTAAGGAAGTAGGTATCTTGCAGTGCAATTTCGAAACAAAATGCATCCACACCCTTGGCCTGTTTCTAGAGCTAGCTATCAAAAACGTGTGGTCCTGATAACCATTCTGCTCAAAACATAATTAGCTTCAAAAGTAGGAGTTTTAAACAAAACTGGATTTTTCTGATTGTGTTCTAATGTGTGGCCTTCAGGAACTGGGTTTCCAAGCTTTCTCTGCAGGGTGCTAAAGCAGGATTGTGAGCTGGAGGTGAGTTTCAGCCTATTGCAATGTTTGAAGAACTGGAAATGGGAAAGAATCGTGAAGTGTTGAGATCAAATTGCTGAAGCTGGCAGTTTCTAGCACCTGGAAACATGAGCTAGGACTCAAACCATTGACATTCTTGTCAAAACA